ATAAAATATTACTTGACTTGAAAGTAAAGACATGTAAATATACACACACATACTTGTATATTATAGTTCCACTCTTAAAAATAGTGTTGTTCTTCAGTTGCACGATTTTTATCTGTTCTGGAAAAGTAGGTGGGACCACTTTTTTTTCTTAATTCTGATTTAAATATTATTTTACAATTACCATTTGTCATTAATAAGTATAGATTTCATCCTTCCCCCATTAAATTCTTTATTCATAGGGACTTTATCAGTGGAGTCTAAGCATTGACACTTAAATTCCACTTTCATGTTATAGCTTCCTTTCTATTAACAAAGGAAAATATTAACCAATACAAGTTGAATAAGTAACAATTTCAGAATAAATGAATGCAAATTCTTTTTCATTGTTTTGGAGGAGAAGAGTTTAGAATGGTCCCATTGGTTTTGACAGGAATTTAATAATCTTAGACCTTTAACAACTAGCTCCCAACAATTAAAAATACAAAATAAATTCATAAAGATGGTTCCATCTACTCTGTGCCTGGCAGAAGAAATGCTGGTATGGGTTTATATTTTTTGTATATCTTTTTCTATATCTAGATTAAGACCTGGGGCATTGGATTAGAATCACCATTTGATTTAGAGCTTCTTCAGGGTATGTCAGAGAATAAAATGATTAACCACCATTGCCCTAAATTCCCTGAAGCAAAAACAGGATAAAGATATCATAAAAATTATGGCTGCCACCAAGAACAGATTCCTGCCTTATTACATTTCTTGTGCAATTGACAGACAGCCCATGTGCCACCTAACTTGCAATTCATGAAGAAAGAACAGGTTTCTGAGATTAAACATTATGAGTCATGAAAATTATGTAATATATTTATTGTAGTCTATTTATTGGACTGCAAAAAATACTATTTCATTTTTTTATTCTTTTATTCCCTTTTGAACAATATAACCATTCATATAATGACCATTCAAAGGTACAACAGCACTGAAAAAATATACTTTTTTTCAAGATTCCTGGGGAGTGGGGCCTTTCTTATGGCAGGGCTTTTCAACCTTTTCACCCATTGTACCACTTTTAGGATATGGCAATACCGAGTACCCCCAGTCACCTAGCAAGGTGTCAAAAACTTGATGACCCCCCCAAAAAGGAAAAAAGTGATAAAGTACAGGTAGTCCTCAACTTACAACAGTTCGCTTAATGACTGTTCAAAGTTACAATGGCACTGAAAAAGTGCCCCCCAAGCCACAGCCGAGCAATACACCTGCCTGCCCACCCGGTGGCGCTCTTCCTCCTGTCTGAGGTTTTCATTGTTGTGAGCATTTCTGTTGAGGATTGGCAGTGGGGGGTGGGGTGGGGAGGTGTTTGGTTTTTATTACCCCCATCTGTTGGGTGGTTGCAACAGGTTTTGGTCACTTCACATGACCCTGGGACACTGACCATCATAAATATGAATCAATTGCCAAGCATCTGAATATAAATCACAAGACCCTGGAGATGCTGCAACATTCCAGCTGATCGGCGCTTCTTCTGGTCTCAGCAGAAGCGACAGGATCAGCACCAAGCTCCAGCTGGAGCCTGGCGCTGATCCTGGCGCTTCCACTGAGCCCTGACAGCCCTGAAGCGCCCATCAGCTGGAAAGCGGCACTGATCCTAGCGCTTCCGCTGAGCCCTGACAGCCCTGCAGATCCAGCCATGTCTCGCTCAGGCTTGTGTAGTACTGCCACCGGTTCAGCTCATTCCCCTCCCCAGCTACCACTTTTCTAGGATGGTTGCGTACCACCTGCCAGGTGCCAATGTACCACAGGTGGTACCCGTACCACTGTCATACGGGATATGGTTCTAACTCCTGTTGACTTTGGCAGGGAAAGGGATTTATGTGAAAATCTATGGAATAATGTACTCCATAAACTTCCATTGTACATCCTCTGAGCCAAAAATATCCTACTTAAAATTGATGAGAGAGAGGGAATTACATCCCCCTCCCTAGAAACAAAAAACCCTATTACCATTTTCAGGTTGCAGACAAAATAGAGGTTGGCTTGATTTAGGGCACTGACATTACATTGACATCTATGGCATCTGAGGCACCATATCACAAGAATACAGTAGTGATTATAAATAAAGTATTTAATTCTTCAGCTAATTTGACTAAAGTATATCAGTTCTATATCTAGTTTCCTAGGGGCAATTTAATGTATTGGTGGCTCATGTTAATTTACAAGACCTATCCAATTTTTTTTTATGTACTGAAATAAACCTTTATTCTCTATTCTCAGTTGAGTCCAAACATATGTTATAGTTACTCACATTCTTTCCAACATTTCTCTCATCTTCCACAATTTTCTTCCCTACAAAAGTTTTTCACAAAGCTATTGCCACCTCAGGCCTCAGTGGACTATATGAAGGATTTTGATTGTTTTTAACCACCATGCACATGATTTTTTATTTGTTTACATTCTTCTATCCCATTTGAAGAGAGATTACAGTAACTCTTCACTGTCCCTTTTTGTTACTGCACCTTTTAATTAGACTTGGTCATTCCTAACTTCAGACGATTTATGTATAGTTTAAAAAGTGCATGATTTTCCAAAAATCTCACTGTTTATATTCTGTCATTATGAGGGTTGTCATTTATTTATATTTCTTTTTGTTTAATGGATGTTGTCCTGAAAGAGGACTCTCCTCTTGAACCTGACCTCTAAGGTGACTTTGATGATAAAATTGTAACAAAACATTTGAAGATAAACAGTGACTGTGTTTTTACAACAGACTAGATCTTATTTTCATTTTGCTTATAATGTTTTCTGAAGTCAAACCATTTATGAGGTTGTGGTTAAGGAGATGTACCTTACCAAATGTATAACTAGGGCTTCTTTTCCTAATGTGTTTTACCCATGATATAGCAAAGATGAAAATGAATAATAAATAGCCTTTGCCACTAGAGAGATAATGAAAAATGTCCATTAGACTACAAGTCATTTTGCACAATTTAGAAAGTTTTTAATTGATAATGAAATCATAACATGCAGTATATTGTATATTGCTGGATATATTTGACAGTATGTTAATTATAAAATATTTAAGTGAAGGATGACCTGCTACAGATAGCAGGAACACTTGCATAAATAACACAGCTTACAAATTATTTCTTATGGCTGGTTAATGATCAGATGACTCAATGCGGGATTACTAGAAGACCCCCAAGGTCCCTTCCAGCTCTATTCTGTTCTGTTCCGTTCCATTCCATTCCATTCTATTCTAAAATAATATTTTAGCCATAATTTATTATTTTGGAACAGATAATATTTCAATCCTTGGAAATATTGATTTTGAATTTTGGGTGTAGCTACCTGGTTCTTTTAAAAAAAGTATTACGGCACTTTCTATGAATGTATTTAAGGTTTCTAGGGTTAACCAATAATTTGATCCAGCAACGTAACTGCTTAAGCATCATTCCTGTGTCACGTTGGCTCCCAGTCTCCAGTACCATCTATTATTAGAAGTGTAGAAGTAAATATGTTCTGTGGACCTACATAGCCTGCTAGGCTGGATAATGCCAACTGCTAGCCTTTGAAAGGGGCGTGTTTTGCTTTAATCTGCTTCTGTGACATTAGTATGAATTTCTGGTTGAAAAAATAAACCTTTCTATAGGAAATCACATTTGCATTTCTTACAGAAGGTTTTTCTCTCAGAAATTCTATAGGAACAGGCATTCATTTGTCTGAAAGATTCTGCTCTGCCTCATAAAATTATAATAATATGTTGGAATAGAAGCAGGGTCATGGAAAAATCAGTATTTCTCAGGCCAGGCTATAGAATGGTTGTTAAGGAGATAAAATGAGGGGAAGTAAGTTCTGCTTACAAGAAATAATAGAATTCCTATTCTGCTTTACTGAGACATCACCTGAAGCACTAGCTGTGCACAAAGGGTTTAGAAAGAATATTGATCTGTGAAATGTATTCAGAAGAGGTAACGTTAAGGCAGTGAGAAACTTGCAGATCAAAACATACAATAAAATACAAGAAATTGGGCATGTGTAATTAAGAAATGTAATATAACAATGGACTAGCATTCTGTTACTATATAGGCTGGGGCATGAATGTATTCAGAATTATGAAAAAAGTTTGGCTAAGTATTAGAAGGAAATTTCTAAAGGTACAAGCTTTTTGAAGAAATTGTTAGAAAAGGCAAATGGATTGTTTTTCATTAGCAATTTTTCATCAGAGATGAACTATAATAAACTATGATTTTTATAGCCCCTCTATCATTTTCTGATGAAAGTGAGAGAGGGGGGCTATAAAAATCAAAGTTTATTATTACAGTATTGGCATGGTATTAGAATAGATTGTCTCCCCACAAGTCTAGCATTCTCTCATCATTATTGTCTGTCTGGTAAGGGCTGCTGGGAATTACAGGCCAGTATACTGAGGAAGGCTGAATTAGATCACTGAGGCCTTGTCAAGTCTGTGGTAATCCTAACATCAGTCAGTTAAATTGACTTTTCTTTCCAGCTGTGAATATTCAGGCACATTAACGATCCATAAGGTCTTGCTATGTGGATACATGTTTGATCTAATTGAATCTGGATTTGTGTTTTATTATACAAATAAATATCTGAAAATATTATTCTTCAGCGCATCAAAGGATTGAAGGAACATTGTTTATTTCTGAATAGTTTCAACTGTGGTTTGCTTTGTTTATATTAACTGCAGATATTTTGTTAAAAGACACATAAATAAAATACAAACTTTCATAGTAACACAGTTTAAATATTTGTATAAATATACAAAGCACGCCTAAGACAGAACTCTATAAATCCACAAAAGTAAAACAGTTGAGCTTTAGGTTAAAGCTGACATTGTGTGATTCAACACAATGGACTAGGATTATGGGACTACAGTTCCATTTGAGAATCTTTTTTCTTTGATAAATGTATTTAACCTATGGCTAAATTAACTCTAACTCTCTCTAATGGCAGTTTAACAGCAGATACTTTTATCTCCACAGATTTGAAAGAACAATACATCATGGGAGCTTTTCTAGACAAGCCAAAGATGGAGAAGCACAATGCCCAAGGGCATGGCAATGGATTACGCTATGGGTTAAGTAGCATGCAAGGTTGGCGAGTTGAGATGGAAGATGCACATACAGCTGTGATTGGCCTGCCAAATGGACTTGATGGATGGTCTTTTTTTGCTGTGTATGATGGACATGCTGGATCCCAAGTTGCCAAATACTGCTGTGAGCATTTGTTAGATCACATCACAAGCAATCATGATTTTAAAGGATGTGGTGCTTCACCATCTGTGGAAAGTGTAAAGACTGGAATCAGAACAGGTTTTCTGCAGATTGATGAACAAATGAGGTTACTATCAGAAAAAAAACATGGTGCAGACAGAAGCGGGTCAACAGCCGTGGGAGTCTTGATTTCTCCCCAACACACTTATTTCATCAACTGTGGAGATTCTAGAGGTTTACTTTGTAGAAACACAAAGGTTTATTTCTTTACACAGGATCATAAACCAAATAATCCACTGGAGAAGGAACGTATACAAAATGCAGGTGGTTCAGTAATGATTCAGCGTGTGAATGGATCTCTGGCTGTATCTAGAGCACTTGGGGACTTTGATTACAAATGCGTTCATGGGAAAGGCCCCACAGAGCAGCTTGTCTCTCCAGAACCTGAAGTATACGAAATTGAGAGATCAGAAGAAGAGGATCAGTTCATCATATTGGCTTGTGATGGTATCTGGGATGTTATGGGAAATGAAGAGCTGTGTGAATTTGTCAGATCAAGGCTTGAAGTCACTGATGATCTTGAAAGAGTTTGTAATGAGATAGTTGACACCTGCTTGTACAAGGTAGCCAGAAATTCTGAAGGAATTTATTGCATTAGAAGTTTTACATGGGGGGTAAAAATCTATATATGCTTTATATAATCTTGGAAAGAGTTTGTGGCACATGTGGAATTTAGAAAAGTGTATTTTGCCAGCTAATACTTGCTCTGGTTATTTTTATTCTGTTATTGATGAAGACCATACAATGCTGATAATGTGTATACTTAAAATTACACTTACTTTGCTAATATATTGCTGAATTTGCATTGTATTTTGTATATTTTTATAATGTAGAAAAATGTGGGTAGTTGATTTATAGAGCCAATTTGAGCATTACTTTTCATTTTATTTTGTAATATATCACAGCACTTTTTTAAAAAAATGGTGCAAAGGTCTTGTTTCTATGATAGATTATCAAGAATCTGAATCAGTTCAGTCCATTTACTATTTTTTTTAATCTAACAGCCTTGGAAAGCTACAACTTTTAGGCTGAGGATATATAATTTCTATATTGGGCTGAATTTCACTATTTGCTTTGTCTTTTTAGTTATTTTTTAAAACATTATCTATGAGATACATGTTGGAGAGTTTGAGTTGAAATATTAACTTAATAATTAAAAGAAGCCTAATTTAAGAATTGATCTTAAACCAGCCTTTTTCTAATTATTAAGCCAGTTAGAAACAAGTTAATAAATTACCTTAATAATCTTAAATTTAAAAATCAGATAGAAAGGTATATCTATATTCTCCTAACTGTAAGTTAGGTTGAAATGAATTTTTATGTGAAATCAAATACCATAGAAGTGTTTTCTTTCATAGCTTAATTGAACTACCCTTTTCTTCCATGCTATTAATATGAAGATACAATTGATAAAACTTACAAATAGTGTGCTTAGAAATGTTAAAAAAATAACTGAAATTTCTTTTTCCTTCCCTTTTTAGGGTAGCCGAGACAACATGAGTGTGATACTGATTTGTTTTCCAAATGCACCAAAGGTATTACCAGATGCAGTGAAGAGAGAGACAGAGCTGGACAAGTTCCTGGAAAGCAGAGTAGAAGGTGGCTCTTTAAGAAAAAAATAAGTAATTTAATTTTAAACAAAACCTGAACAGCCAAGTTATAAATATTTGGGTTTTTTTAATTAAATCCTTAAGTGCCATGGGATATTTATAACACATATCACTTAAAGGTACTTTTGTTGCCTTTTGATACATGTGTAGGTTTATCCTATTAAAATATGTGTTCTTGACTGTTCTGTTTACAGTAGAGAAAAACATAGATACAATGTTTATGTCAGAACCATTACCAGCAATAAATTTATGTTCCAAACAATTTCTAGTTGATGATATTGAAGAGCTTTTAATAGAATTACATTTAACAGAATACTCATTAAATATATGTATCGGTATCTGTTACAGCTGTGTAATAATTCCAAGACAGCATAGTCATAGTCTTGTAACTTGATATTAATATAATTTTGTACAATAGAATTCAAAACCTATTTTGATTTAAATCTTATTTTGATTTAAAGCATGCATTAAAATGTGCATGCCAATCTCTTATATAGCGCCTTGGAATATGTGCAGTGCAATCCTGTGCTTATATACATGGATGTTAAGTATGTTCACAAGTAAGCTTTTATTCATATTACTAGTTGTAAGGCACACTAATATGGACAAATATGCATTTCTCAAAAAAATGAACAGACCGTGAAATTAGATTTAGTCAGAATTCATCAGACCTTTAAAATAGATATAATGATCAAATTGTATTATGAATGTGATTTAATTATATCTTAAGGCCATGGAGTTATGAGTGTGAGTAGTAGGAAATTTTATCTGCTTTATTGAGTTAAATATCTTATGCATTTTTTTATGCTATAAAAGCTAACTGTGTCAGTTAGCTATCTATTAATGTTTGAGATCTTAAAATTATCTCAGTGAAACACCAATGAGTCAGTGTGCTGCAGTGGCTAGGAGACTAAGGTAGAAATCAGGAAACCTATGGTTCCTGTCTCATTTTTACAATTACCTCATTTAGATGGCTCAGGCAAAACACACTTTCTTGAATCTCTCCCTCCCATTTTCAAGAGGGGAACATAATACTGACATACCCGACATAAAGATTAAGATAATTAAGATAATGTTTATGAAATACTTTCAACCCCTGAAAACACCATATGGTAGTATTAAATGTAAAATTCAAAGCAGATTAATGTTACACTGAAGGAACTTCAGATAGTGATTGCTAATACATATTTTTTTTCTACAGAATCACAGTCTTTGCTTATACAATATATTGCAAGCATAGTAAGTGAATGTAATTAATAAGAGTGGAAAGAAGCATTATATAGTGACAACCTAGTGAAGCTGTGTCTTAAATAAAGTCTATATATTATCTGAATAATGGGGGATAAGCAGACATTATGCAGTTTTCTTTACGTTGAGATAAAATTATGTTCAATGTCTGCAGTCCAAGAGTTCCCCATCATTTAAACCTCCTTCCAAGTGAAAACCTTATTCTTCCTAAAAGAACATTTCTCCTTAAGTTTAAAGCAGGGGTCCCCAACCCCCAGGCCACGGCCTACTACATGGCCGTGGCCTATTAAAAACCGGACCCACACGAGCAGCCAGCCGGCATGCTCACATGTAGCGCTACTTGCTCAAGCAGCAGGAGTGCAGACGTGCACATAGCTCAACTTGCACAAGTTGAGCTGCCCGTGCATGTGCGTGCATACTGGTTCTCCACTCGTGCAAGTTGAACTGCACTTCTGCACCAGCCTGCTGCTCACACAGCCCATTGCCCTTTCCCCTCCTGCTGGGTCGCCAAGCTACAGAAGTTGGGGACCACTGGTGTACTTAAAACAATAGGATTTAGTTATGATTCAGCTAGTAAACTGCTTTGGTATGTGTTAGGGTGAACTTCGTTCGCTTTGTCCTTCCTCTCTTACAGAACCTCATCTGTTCTTGTGGAACCCTTGACTTCCATGGAACACATTTGGACAAACCCTGAGTTATCTCATTCTCTCTCTCTCTCTCTCTCTCTCTCTCTCTCTCTCTCTCTCTCTCTCTC